TGTGTGTGTGTGTGTGTGTGTGTGTGTGTGTGTGTGTGTGTGTGTGTGTGTGTGTGTGTGAGTGTATGTGTGTGAGTGTATGTGTGTGTGTGTATATATATATACCCACACCCAAACACACACGTGTACGTGCGTGTATATGTATCACACACACACACATATACATATATGTATATATATACACATATATATTTTTTTCAACAGCCATTCATTCCACTGCAGGACATTGGCCTCTCTCAATTCAGTATTGAGAGGTTATATGGCAGTGTCACCCTTGCCTGATTGAATACGGTGATTTCCCCTACGACACCTGCGTTTGACTTCTCAAGGTGATATGTCATTTTCTCGGGCTCGAGCAAGCAGTCAGAGCGCAGGCATTTTTACGACCGCCGCGACGGGAAATTGAACCCGGGACCACGAGGGTAGGAGTCCAGTGCTCTAACCACTGAGCTATCGCGGCAGTGAGTATATATATATATATATATATATATATATATATATATATATATATATATATATATATATACACACACACATATATATATATATATATATATATATATATATATATATATATATATATATATATATATATACATTCATATATTTACATATATATGTATTCATATATTTACATATATATGTATTCATATATTTACATATATATATATATATATATATATATATATATATATATATATATATATATATATATATATATATATATATATATATATATATATATATATATATATATATATATATATATATATATATATACATATATATATATATATATCTCGAAATCAGTGTATGTGTGTGTACATGTGCGCGCGATGTATGTGTGAATGCACACACACATGCATACTCGCATTTACCTATATTGGGTAAGTCCAATAAAGAGATGGTAGTGGGGTTCTATTCCTGAGGAGTATGGAGCCACAAGGATAAGTCCGATATACGAAGCTGACCCTCGCAGGGCTATGCCCATGAGGGGAGACCGGGCTGTGCCGACTAATGCCGACTCCTTACCCGCCGTGGTGCGCAGCCATAGCAGTAACTTCCAGGAGACAGTTGAACCTTTTCACTCCTGGGTAGGCGCGAACCGCCCGCCCCTCGGGTGAGTGGCCGACACGTTACCAGTGTACTTAGAGCCACCTCTTAGCCTTTGTAGCTCCATGTCCACTTCAGCTCAGGGGCACCCCTCAGGGTCCCATCAATGGGATAAATGGAAATAAGGGAGAGGGGAATCTTTAGCTTTGCCTGGCAACTCTTCTAAAGACAGTCTCAATAAAACATTGGGAAACCACCCTGATCGATCTTTTCCTTGTATTTATGGCAGACATCACAAGAAGTGGCCCTCAGTCCCGTGTAAAAAGGAAGAAATAGTGGCATAGAGAAAATGGTAGTCAGAAAGGACCTGTCGTAGGACAGTCCACTCAGTACAGTGCAATATATATATATATATATATATATATATATATATATATATATATATATATATATATATATATATATATATATATGTATGTGTGTGTGTGTGTGTGAAAACTGAGAGAGAGAGAGAGAGAGAGAGAGAGAGAGAGAGAGAGAGAGAGAGAGAGAGAGAGAGAGAGAGAGAGAGAGAGCACATCTGCACTGCGACCCCCTCACATGACTCAGTCATTTGAAGAAATATATTACACATATTCTTGCGTTCTTCAAAAGCACCGAGGTATGAAGCAGTGGTCGCCTTGACATACAATAGAGACAGACATTGCGGCGTTAAGGTTGTTACACTGTTGCGTCCAGATGGCGTGACTCTGGATTTCGCGCATCTGATTTGCACAGGACGAAACCGTCATTTCTTTGGCTTACGGAGCGCTGGTGAAGAGCTTTCATTAGCCCCATCAGTCTTCGACCTTTCTTTTATGGCACTGCGAAGAGACCAAATTCCTCATTCGTAATTTGGAATGGGAATAATCGAGTCGGCGTTAGTCGGCTCAAGTGCAGTTCTCCGCACTTATCCTTATCCTTTATCTATCAGAAAAACACGTTACTGGAGGTAAACGAACCCAGATAGTGTCTACAGGCTGTAAGTGAGGTGGAAATAACCGGGAACCAAGCCGTGAAGGTACGCAGGGGCTGAATCAAAATACGCGAGATATGGACGCAGCTAAACAACAGAGAAATGTGGACTGTATTAGTGAAGTCAGCAGTAAGGTTGAATCAGTGCGTGGTGGATTGCGGGGCGAGCAACAGCGAGGAAGAGGACACGCTGGGCGGCAGGCAGAAGGAACGAGAGCAAGAAAAGTTGCCTCGCCACTGGTATTACCATTATGTCCTGCTGAATTTAAGGCACGAGATGCCATTTTCACCTTAGCTTAACGAAATGCTTACAGCGAGAAGCATTTGGAGGCTGTCCCACGTTGGTCTCGAATACACATCTGCGGTGGGTTTGAATACTGTTGTGATGCGTGTCTTGCTCCTTCAATCGTCACTTTCAGGATGGCACATCAAC